CAAAGCGCTATGTGTGGTGTGAATACGAAAGATGTTGAAAATAAATAAAATAATACAATCAAATATAGCTAAAGGCGACATAAAGAAGGCGGTATAACGATTTGGTGGTGAATCTGATTTTTAGGTTATGTTCATCATTAAATTGATTCTAATATCAAAAAAAGGTTGTCAAAATGTTTGAGTACAGAAAAGGAACACAAATGTCCGAAACATATTTAAAACATCAAAACTGTAAACTTGTGTTTGACAAATATCCAAAACAACTAAAACCTGTAAACTCGTGTTGAACAAATACTCAAAAGACTCTAAGCCTTAAACTCCTGTTTGATAAATACTCAATAATCTCAAAACATTTAACTCGTGTTTAACAAATATTCAAAAAACTCAAAACCTTAAACTCGTGTTTTCAAATATTATTATAACTTGAAAACTCAAACTCGTGTTTAACATATATTTATAATACTCGAAACATTTAACTCGTTAATTGGAGCCTTTATATCCCTTATTATTGAAATAACAGCAATTTTTCAATTTTGTAGAAGAGTAAAATAACTACCATTATAATTACTTTTGCTTAATTATAATTACAGCATTTCTTTTTCGCAACCACTTCCTTATTGTCAGGGTTTTAACCAAAAACTTGCTAACTCTACAAAAGTCACAACAATGTCAATGACAGCAAAGAGTTCAAAGAATAACCAAATCAGAAAAAGAAATATATATATATATATTTATATATACTCTTATACATATATATATGTACATATGCATACAAGTATACCTATAACAATCGTTCCTAACCTCATTTATTGTACGAATAACGCTCAGCTTAACAAAGCAGCATTCTATAGGTAGCTAACAAGGCTTTTAGCGCTAGAAAATATAGAAATAAGACAAATAAAAAGATAATACGAACTAAAGAAAAATTAAGAGTAGAAAAAATAATAAAGAACAATTCTTATTTTCATGGCCGTAAAGGTAATGGTTTCCGCTGAACAATGATCATAAAGAAGTCAATTCAAGTTCATTGCAAACATATTGCTTTATATACATACAAAATATATATGCTATATATACTATAAGTATATACATATGTATGTAAGTTACTTTTTTGTCACTATTTCAACGCCAAATTGAAAATGTTTCTCACTAACTACAGTGGACAGCGTTGAAAATTGTAATAACAACTAAAAGCAAACTCTTTTGTCGTCTCTATTGTCATTGTCTTAAAATTCGCTAATTATTTTATTTCATTTTTTGTTTTTTTTTTTTTGGCAGGCATTTTAAGTGCGACTAATTGTTTCTTGTTCGTGTTTGTATTCTCTTTTTGCTTTCTTTATTCGAGACAGACAATGCCGCCGTCGCTTCTACACGCCACCGAAAGTAACAGATTAGCGAGCGGATTAAGCGTGTCGCCATCGCGTCTGATTGACCACCGATTTGGACAGGCAATTAAACATTAATTGAGATTAAGAAACTTATATTCAATGTTGGCTGAGGATAATGTCTGATAGAAAACTAGAAAACTAAGATAGGGGCATATTGATTGTGTGGAAAGTTGATTTTGGTGGAAAGTGGAAACTTGGGAGATGAGGTTGTAGAAACTCGGTAGGTGGATTACTAACATAATAAGCAAACGATTGCATTACATTAGCTATATATTGAGGGTGAATTTGGAGCTAAAATATTTTTCGGTGAAAAAATTGTTCTTATTGTTGTTTTGTGGGGCTATAACTTTCATTTGATATTATTGAAGAGAGCGTTTTCTACGGATTTCTATCTTCTTGTACTCTTATGAGGACTCGTGTTTAATAAATATTTATAAATCTCAAAACTCTAAACTCGTGTTTAACAAATATTCAAAAAACTTAAAACTTTATACTGGTGTTTAACAAATGTTAAATTTAAAAATAAAATAGAAACCTTAAACTCGTGTTTAATAAATATTCAAAAAAATCGAATACTTTAAACTCGCGTTTAACAAAGGTTATACTTAAAACACACCAAACCTTAAACTCGTGTTTAACAATCATTCTAAAAACTCAAAACTCGGTTTGATAAATATTTATGTAACTCACAACCTTAAACTCGAATTTGAAAAATATTCAAAAATATCCAAACTTTAAACTCATTTTTCACAAATATTCAAAAAAACACAAAAGTTTAAACTCGTGTTTAACAAATGTTGTACTCAAAACACACAAACCTTAAACTCGTGTTTCACAATCATTCTAAAAACTCAAAACTCGTGTTTGATAAATATTCAAAAAAATCCAGAATTTGAAACTCATTTTTAACAAATATTTAAAACCTTAAAATCGCAATTGAGAAACATTTATATACTCAAAACCTTAAACTCGTGTTTGCCACATTCAACTGAAATGTGTTAAAAGTATTGAAAAATGGCCAAAACCCCCTTCTACCTAGCCTTCCCTGACAAGAGGGATCAAAAAATCCTAGCTAATGATGTAACCAGTCTTTTGCTCAGCAGGCTGCTAATAAAATGTTGGCTACCTAATAAAACTTTACAATATTTATCAGATACAAACAGCCGCAATGGCTTAAATTTCAAAACAACGCGCCATTAAAGACAGAGCAGAGAGCATAAAAAACGACTAAATTGCATTTAAGTGCACCAAACGCGGGCAAAGTACAAGGAAAACTCGCTGGCAGCTGATAAAAGACACAAACTTAACTGCAGATTACAATGATGCACGCAGGCATTTACAAGAGCCGTCTTACCTTCGGCAAACTGAGCCCGCTCAGAAGCCTGCCGCACTAAAGTTAATGCCAGGCACAGCTCAAGTGCAACTGCAGTTTACGCGTATGTATAGGTGTGCTGTGCGTGGCAGGATAATGAAATGTGCACAATCTCGCGAACGAAAAGTTTATGTTGCCTATCCTTAGAGGCACGCCTTGCATACGCACAGCGCTTAGGTGCGGGTGTAAGGCACCCTCCTGGCTACTGCCTCCAATATTGCGCACGAATTTGGTGAAGCGTAAAACTGTTATTCGCAGCGTCGAGTTTAAGGTTTAGACTTTCTTAGCTTAACTCTCTGGCAGGTCATATCTTAGGTATCTACCCCTTCAGTACAGCAGCGCTTTCTTTACAGTCATCTTAGTGCACAACTACAACCACCACTGCGACTGTGTATATATTTCATATGGCGCAACTGCGTTTTATGTCATTTGTGTTTTATGACACACTGCACTTGAAAACTTTTAAAGTTCTGCGAGAAATTTTATAGCAGTCACAAGTCAGGCCGTTGCAAGGTAGGAGGGAATGGCGAGAAGTATAAACCAGTGTAGGAGCAATTGTACTGTGGCTTGCCGCAGTGAAAAATCTGCTTCCTTATAGATACTTCTAAGATTGTATGTTGTTTGTAATTCTCTATTTAAAACATTAAATTAGTCGGTTCGAGGTCGGAATTCGGATATAAATAGAGAGGCAATAAAAAATTGTGCTACAATTTTTCAAAGCAATGTTATTCCTTGTGTTCTAAGTTTAGAAATATATTTATTTAGAGACATTTTAGTTAGCTGGGTTTTTTCTTATTTAACTCAATATTTTATTTGACCATTACTTCTGTTAATATCGATAAGTGAAGAATTTATTCCACAAAAGCGAAGTGTCAAGGCACAACCAGAAAAAGTTGTACTGCCAAGCATTATGACTTGTCACGGCCGTGTCATAATTCTGTCAAAAATTTTCACGTTTTAAAAAACGCGATATAGTTTTATATACATAGATCTATACATTTTTATTGCCAGTGCAAAAATAAAGCAAGATGTGAACAATGCTCCCAAAAAATATATCTCAACTTTATTAACTAAGTGAGATTTTTACTACGTCAAATTCAAGGACAGTTGTAGTCAAAGTAATGTAAACGTTTGCGATTTAGTTCTTTTGGCATTTTCCTAGCGTATCGTTGTAGTTGAATTGAAATTTCAGCATAATTGTTTTTTGTAGCTCGTTGTCTTTTGATTAATATTGCTCGAAGCACATATCAACAAAACTAAACGACTGTCAGTTTAGTGTCATTGAATTTGACATGGAAAAAATCACACACTAGTCCTTAGACGTTATATGAGCATGTAGTAAATATTTTATAAATGTTGCTAATATGCATGAGGATAAGGCAAAGCTGTTTCAGCAATGTTTCGATTCCAACGCCATCTACCTGACATATTTATTAATCAAATATAATATTTGATGTCAAAGATCAAGACATGAACTAAATTAGTTGATAAGTATAGGTTTAAGTAATATTTTAAGTTCTAGTGCCACCTATCGTAGAGCGATTTGATCCAAATATTTATTTCCAGTGATAAATATGTTATTCAAATATTATATCAGGCAAACTATACTGTAAAATGACACTTTGTGGAAGAGTGCTTGTATGAAAAACTTTTTTATTTTACAAGATATGTACACGAAATTTAGTTGGTATAAAAACTGATCGATTTAAGTCAAGTTTTTATATAGATTTTTATTTAACAATGTATCATCATCAAATTTAGCATTAATTATTGTCCAAGACAGCGCAATAATCTCCAGTCAAATTGTTTAGTTCGAAAACCCATGGCATATAACTGCCATTCAAACTGACCGATCTAAATCAAATCCTTATATGGAAAACTTTTTTCTTTGACAAGATATCTTCACCCAATTTTGTATAGATTAATGTCCAAGACAGCGCTACAATCTTCGAATATATTGTTCAGCTTATACCGCTCTAGCATATAATGTGCAATACAAGCTGATCGCTCACAATTAAGATACAAATATTTTTATATCCTTTTGATAGTACAATGAAAGAAATGCACCTGTGAAGGGTATTACCACTTCGGTGTACCAATAATTAACGTATTTTTTTTTATTATTTTTGGTCTGAATGCCTTAAGTTATAGAGAAAATTTATTAAAAATTATGATTTAAAATACTTAAGCTAAAAAAATTCTAAAAAAAAGTATAAATAACTGTAGTTATTACTACTCACAACAAAGTTATAGTACTCCTTTTGCCTTTTCTAACTGACCAACTTGCAAGTATTAATTTCACTGAATAACCGAAGAAGCGAACCGAAAATGCACAAATAACTTTTTATGACAGCCAATAATTTTTGACGAATTTGCAAAAATCTATTAATTTTTTTAAACAAACAGCACTAGAAAATAGTTTAAATATCACTCAAAATGGCTGCAGCGCGGCAAATTCAACTCGAACTATTTTCCTGGCTTTAGTTGCCACACAAAGCGCCCAGCAAAAGTTCGTCAATGAACTTGAGTGGCGAGTTCAAAGTCAGCGTAAATATAAAAATGTGTATGTATGTAAATCAAGGTAGAATGTTGCAAGGTAACAGATTTTGCAAGAAGGAGACGTTCACTGGATAGAATAATTCGAAAATTTTATATAACTAAAATATTCATCCAAAATTTTTATATTTCGAATTTAGATAGTATTTAGTAATTCAAACACGTTCGTTTCTTAAGTCTTTTGTTAAGCACTTGTATACTATATGTAAGTACATATTCACTTATTACTCCTTTTTCTTGCTCTTTCACCACACTCTATGTAGCAAGCATACACACCAACTCGACGCGAGTTTACCCAATTCGAAAGAAGAAGACGAGTCGCTTCTATGTTGCTAACACGCACGCAGTCGCAAGAGAACTGATGGCAGCCGAGCGAGTCAAGGCAAATCACAGTCGCCGCTGAAGAAATTGCTTTTACCACAAGATCAAGTTTAGACCGCTGCAACGGACGGCTGTAATATGAAAATAGCAAATAAATGTTAGAAGCACAGAAAAAACGTGGAAAAAGACAAATAAAGTAGAGAAAGAAAACAAAGTAGCGAAAGAAAGTTATAAAGCACAAGCTGGCAGGGGCCGAAGCAATGGCCAGCGCGATTGAGAGCGCGATAGAAACAAAAGAAAGCAAATAGTTGATGAGTATCAGTGATGAGTTATTTAAGAAGCGCACAGAAGCAGTGGAGAGAGCAAAGATTGCGAGCAGATAGTTAACGAAGTGGCAAGCAAGAATTCTAAAGATGAGTGGAGAAAAAATAAAAGCAATAAAAAACCGCAAAAGCAGACAAACGAAGAATAGCAGCAATAACGCATTAACTATCTCGTTTATATATATATTATATATATATATATATATATATATGTGTGTGTGTATATATATATAAATACATATATGCCACTCTATATATAAATATATATTCCTCCACATAAACGCCCGATAAACGACGATCGCACAGTGTTGCATACGCATAGTCTAATAATACATCAGAAGATCTGCATAAAGCAAAATATACGTTCATATGACTAGTACGCACATATTTGCGAGTGTGCTGCTCGCATTTAACGATTGTCGTAGTGCGCCGATAGGGTGATGTATATGCGCTAGATGATGCCTTGATTGCCTGGGCAGGCATTGAACCTGACTTTCTGTTGGTGCTATGGCTACAACAATAATAGCGCATTTCATTAATGTGTGTGCAGAGCGCATGCGCACAAGCAGTATTTGTAGGTGCATGCGTTTAGGTGGTTTTTACCTTAAAGAATTTTTTATTTGTGGAGATAAGAGCACGCCGGTAGAGTAACAAGTGTGCGAGAGAGACTGGAACTCTGAGAAGTTAATCATGTTAAAAGAGAGAGTGATATAGTGTTGAGTAAGTTGAGTAATAATATAAAAATGTTGATGAGTAGCAATTTAGGAGAGTACGCGCGAAGAGTTGTAAATTTGGTGGTAGATCTGTTTCGAGTAAGTAAATCGTAGAGGTGAAAATATTATTTATTATTATTATTGGTAGTTCTGGTTTTTTTTTTTATTTCAGTTTTAATAAGTAATAAATATATTATCTACATTAATTATTTACTTATTACCTTGCCTATTTTCTCCATAAACGTGTTTTACGTTCGGCTGGAATGGGCTCTGGTTTCTTGAAATACTATGTTGCTGATCGGGTAATACCCAGCTATGATTTTAAAAAAATAGATTTTTTTTTTGCTTAAATATCGGCTTCACAGATTTTTAAAAATATTCTCCGGAAATTTGAAGTTACTGCGGCAAATAGTTTGAGAGACAGGGAGCTATTGCTAAGAATTTTTTAACTTAGTGTAATCGACTCCCAAAACTTAAAACGCGGTTTTCCAGAAACGCTGCTTTCAGAGTCGGTGAGCAGAATTTTTCCAAAACGGCAGGACCGATCGACTCGAATTTTAACACGATCTGCTTTGATAAACTTTATATGTAATGACCGAACTGATAGAATTTTGGTTTTTTAAGCCCAGACACGATTTTGTCTATTCCTTCGATATTCGACCTGCATTGAGTAAGTTACAATATTAAATTTTGTTGATTTTTTTTGTAAATAAGTTAATTCACTGCTAGACACTCCTTTTCGAAGCTTCTTCTGGAAATAAGCTGCGAGATCTAGAGTATCTAAGATTTTTCAAAATGTTTCAAAAATTTTCAAAATGCTGTAAATACACATTATTTTTAAGAGTATTTACTTATTAAAAGAAATTTCTCTTCAAAAATAACTTCCATAAAAGGCGTTTTTGCCTACTCATAATTGAATTTAACCTCTTAAGATATCTAAGTAATGAGTTTCATTTGTTTTTCCCGACGTATTGGGTCAATCCTTAGGCAAGTTTAACAGCCTTTGTTCCCTGTGGTTTGTTTAATTGAACCATTCCGACTCAAATTTTGCTTGAGAGTTGTGTATTAAGTTAAAGGATATGAAGAGTAAATATCTTCGATTTTGTTTGAGCCAGATAAGTAAACCAAGACACTGGATTTTGGTTATGTGTCTATAGATTAGGAGTATTAGAAACATTTTTGGGTACAGATTTATCAGTGATAAATCAGTAATACTGTAAACATTACACTTAGTTGATCGAATAAAATTCCAATTTGCTTTCATCAAATAAAGATAGCTATCCTCGCCTATCGTAAACCCCTAAATTAAAATTTTTTTTCTGAGCTAATTATTTTTCAATTAATTTCCAAATTAACTGGAAGTGTAAGACCTAACGTACATATACATGAGAATGTTTTAGCCTGTAAACTACAAAACTCCCACATGAAGTGCGAGTTTTACCATTTAAGCAATAAACTCTCCACAAATAAAGTTTTTAGATCCCTGAAGGGTTAAAATATTACTTTAAAATATACTACGAAAGATTTTACCAGAAGGTTCAAGGGTTCATAAACAAATTTAACCTATTTGAAGTGTCGTCTTTAGCACTAATTTAAGACAAACTTAAAAAGGAACTCTGATGATCGCTAGAGGGTTAAATTATACGTTAAAATTATACTTCGAAATATGTAAACAGGTACCTTATATCTTATAAGATTCATGTTTATTGTTCTCGTAGAAAATTTTAACTAATTGAGTTCATCTGAAAGCTTTTTTAGACCCTTATATTCGAAAGGAACGAATTGAGCTATCTATAATGAATTAAAATATTTTAGAATATTATTGCTTGGTAAAATTTACCGAAGGTCGACTTGGTCAAAAACTACTAAAGAAATATGAACCGATGATTCCCTCTACCTATAGAGCATTTTCCAAATTCATACAAAGATTTAACCCTACCCATTTCTTAACAATCGTGTAAATGCTTAAGAGCTCGAAATTTTAAATTTTTACTTTAAGAGGAGGAGTCTTTTCTTCTCTTACCATTTAGCTCCATGAACCTTTCTCCCCTACTCACCGCTATGCTAATCACCACTCTCCTCTACTATCTAAATTTACCGTTAAACATATTGAATCCTGTTGAGCCATGGCTTATATTAAGCGCATTATATAACTGTAATTTGTCTGCCACACATTCGAACCATATATTGCAACCGGCAAATAAACTGCACCCAGCTGTGAGAAATCAATTCACCTGCAAACAGCCAACAACTATTTTTACAGTAGAAGGATACATTGCTCTCGTTAAGCAACAAGCGACAACAATTCGCTATAAAACACAGCAGTATATTTCCTTGACTTCATGCATTTGCCGCTGTTAAGCAAATCTATTTGTGCATTTGTAGCTCGCATCCGCTCGTTACAAGCTTATCTTATCACTGTGCACTTTGTAAGAATGCGAAGTGTCAACAAACTGTGAGCAGCAACGAACAGATGAAAAACAAATGAGCAACAAAGTAAATAGGTAATCTAAATGTAAATATATTTTTCCTAAGAATTCTTTTATCAGTTGATCTAGAAAGAGATGAGATTACTGCTTACATGTTGTCAAGTCGATAAACCGACAGCAACAGTTCATTGGTACTCACGTATGTATAACCGTAGTATTTGCTTTTTAAAATCGAAAAGCTTGTTTGCATGTATTTGTAAAATGTCGCAAGTTTAGGAAAAGGGCGCGTAGACAAAATGCAATCATTTAGCGATAAGCAAATTGACAATATTCTTAGCAGATGTGCGTGCTAGAGAATAATGCGCAAGGATAACTGTTAAAAATAGTGCTAACGAAGAATTGTTTTGAATTTATTGTAAGCAATCTTAGTTGCAGTATTTTAGCTCTACTTTAAAGGCACATCTAGTGTGAAATTTTGACAAAATATATTGTTTATTCTTACACACGTCGCTTTTCTATTCCTTCAAACATAACATACACAAATTTTAAATCGATATCTCAAATAGTTACAGGCTTCTAAAGTGTAGATAGCTCGGTTTAATCAGCAGTTTAATGTTAAACGCGTTTTTCTCGAAACAGCATTTTTCGAGTTTTCTGCAGTGATTAGCCTGATGAAATGATCTGATCACTAACAAATTTTTACTGCATGTTTGCATAATTCTTCACATAATTACTTACCAGTTTTTTGAACTGATCAAAATTCGAATTTTGGCAGGTAACAACTAAAGTTTTGAGTCAAATTCTGATTAAAAAAGTGCCACCATTTTGTCAATTTTTCGACCGCGAGTCACCGTACAGATATACTTAGCTTTTGTATACGTACTTAAAATTTTAGGGTCAGTAATTTTTTTATGTCCAGAAATCGCCTTTTTTTTTAGCTGGCAAACTAGGTGTAGTGCCCCTCAAATTTTAAAACATGTACTTAATTAATAGACGCATTTTCGAGCTAAAAATAGAAGTATATACATACATTTGTATATCTACTGATTAAAATGTGGTATATAATGTTATAATTATTTTTTAGATGCTTTATATTTACAATAATTCAAAATTAACTGCCTGGTATCCTACATTTTTTAGAACTTTTACCTTATAAGCTTTTTCCAAAATATGTTGCCTACATTTCGCGTGTAACGGTATTAGTAAAACTATCTAAGATTATAAAGCAGTGTCACAATAAAAAGTCTCAATCTCGCTTAAAAAAACATACAGTCACTTTATTTTTTGGCGATTTATTTCGAATTGACAAATCTCTTGAAAAATATAAGCACTTGTTATAAACCTCGGCTGGGATGGCCTTCAGCAAATTTAAATTTTTTCGGTTTCGGTTAATTTTTGAAACGTCATTCGTTAGGATGTTGGACAGCTTCGACGTCATATTCATAAACTCACGTCTTGTCACCATTAAGGATACATTTGATGAATGAAAGGTGTTCAGCTATATACGTTGTCAAGCTGGTTTGTACCCAAAACATTTACCAAAATGTGTTGGGTCGATCCATAAGAGATAGCAATAGAATAAGAGAGAGCAATAGAAGTGAGGTTAAGATATTTTATTGTAATAAATATTTTTTGATGCGATGCGACAATTTAATTAAATAGTTTTCTATAAAATATACTTATGGATGCGATATGATATGATATGTTATAATATGATGTTATAGTATGATGTCTCAAATGTTTATGCAATATTAAATGTATATAAATTACATAAAGCGATCTTGCAATTAGAAATTCGTCTTGATCTACGCCCTCGCTTGAATTCATAATCGATGGTCCTTGATGGAGTTTCATTGCCAAAAATTTAATTAAACCCCTCGATACACTGTTGCTGGGCTAATTCACGTCGAAATTTGTAAAAAATAATCGCGCGAAAATGTTCGCGATTTATTTCCATTTCTTAGCCGAGATGAATATTTTAAGTTACAATATTTTAAACAAGAAAAATAGCGCTCGTATATCAGAAAGGTCTGAGTTAACATCAAAAATGTCATAATTTACAATAAAGTGGTGAATTACCAGACTGCAACACTAGAGTTGCCAAATCCCGAAATATAAAAGGCAACTTACGTATTTGTTCTAAGAAATAGCTATGGGTTTCAAATAGGATCTCAAGTGTAAGTATTAAATATTTTTGTCTACAGCGCCATCTAGGTGATAGAGTTTTAGTTCGAATAGTTGGTTTCATGTGATATATATGTATTGAATATATCAATATATAAACTAAATTGGGTGAACAACACTAAACGGTAATGGTTTTATCAGTGAACTGTTTTCAGATTTGCCCCCAAAACATCGGCTAAAGTTTTCTCTAAATTTTTTAAGCCATTTATCGACAGTGCTCTGGCATATTTGCAACAATTTAAAAAAGCTCTCCGAACATATTTTAAGCCCCTGAGTTGCTTTGCCACAACATTCTTCAAAATCTAAGCTCCAGTGTCGTTTTAGAAGGTCTCGAATAACGTTACTTTAATTGCCTAAGCAATTATTTCAGTTTTGGGCATGTAAACAATGTGCTAAGAAAGCTGCGAAGAAGTATAATGAAAATGTAAATAAATAACCGAAATCAAGGAAAACAGTGAACCGCAAAACCTTTGGTGAGAAAGCGCGAAATTTGTAACAAAAATTATTTGCGACTGTCCAATGGGCAAAAAAAAATTACAATAATTTGGTAAACAACAAATATACAGACATTTGCTGGGGGCAAATTAAAACCAAGCACAGTAAGTTAACAAAAAGTAATGCAAAAAGGAATGAGAAAAAAAAATTTTTTTTGAATCTCAGAGAATTGCTAAAAATAACCTTTTTTTTTTAAATATACTTACCATATGCATTAAGCACCGTTTTAAACAAAACGTTATAGTTGTAAGCACCAGCTTTTTACTAAAAGGTAGTGAATGGAAGACTTTCTAGCAGAAAAGAATGTATATATAATGTAGTATTGCAAAAAAGTCATTAAACTTTTGAGTCGCATATCACGCTTAGCGCGCTGAACGTGGCCAAAGCAATGTACACTGGCGCCAATTCTTCAATACTAAGATTTTCCAAAGCTAAGTTTATGTAATAAGCATGCTACCGATTTTCAATGCTAAGAAATGACATAACCAAAGCACGGAAACTAGGCCATTAAACAGAGCGTTGGTTAGCTATAAATATATGCAGGTATATATGTATATGTTTATTTGTGTCTGAAGCGTTAATCAATAAGAAATAAAAATATAGACAACCGTCCACAGTTGAAAAGTTCATGCAAAATATGAATGGAGTATGGCAAAATCAACAGAAACATTTATAAAGCACAGCAAAACATTATTTCTACACATACATATATACAAATACATGCATACAAATATACCGATGGCCAACGTGCAACAGTTGTTTGACTTGCCAATTACCAACTTAGAATGGCTATGCGCTAATGAAGCGACCGCCTTTTGGGTGAAAGAAGTATTGAAACACTATATACATATACATATATACATAAATATATATATGGAAACATGTATATATAAACACATTAATACGTAATTCTTTGCTTCTGTCTGCTGATTGATTACATGCATCGGCCGTTAGCTGCGCCATTACCAAATTTAGTTGGTTCTTGAATGAAGTTGTTGCCAACGACAAGCGGCTTAAGATCGTTCACTCACACCGTTCACTCTTTTCGCTCACTCATTGCCAGCAGCAGTAGCGTTGTTTTTTCACTCAAACTCCGCTGAACTGCACTCAACTGCGAGCAGCTGATAGCAGCTGTTGACTTTTGGTCTTTAGCCGCTGCTTTAGAAATTGTGTTAGCAGTGGCTTACATTGCGGCACGTTTTATAAGATAACCGTAGCGCCGTTCGCTTGTGATACACCATCTGAAGAATACTTACTAAGAAGACCAAGTCTAAAAATTTTATAAGTTATTGTCAAGTTGGCTATAAAATTAGAGACTTGATAAAGAAGCTTGATAATATTGCTAATGAGATCATGCTCGCTCAGAGCCATTTTAGCCGCTCTACAATAATCCAGAATGTAAAAATTTGTATCCTTTACTGTTCAAAAGTTATGATATTTTTAATAAAAAAAATGGTTTCCTGTATATGTAAGCTTATTTTATTCTATAAACTCAATAGATTGATTTTTTTTTTCATTTTACCAAATAAGTTATCTCTTGTATATTAACCATTCACTTTGCCTGCCGTATTACATATTCTCATACACATCCGCACTTCATTTATAAGTTTGCGTGTGTAAATTATTTCCTTTGCTATATTGTAAGCACATCCTTTGTTCGTCAACTTTTCACATTCCATTTTTCTTTTCAAAATTTTTTATTTTGTCCTTCAATATTTTGTACTCTTTATAATTTTAATTACATGCGTTTAATTACTTCTCAATAAAACAATTACAAGGCCCCGCACACTTGCCCCAAATTCATTATTATACTTACTCTTTGATAATTTTTAATTAAAAAATTTCTTATTACACTTGTGTTCTCAAACGATTGCACGCAAAGCAATATGACAGATACAGAGAAATATTCACATACTATATCGTATGCTTGTGTTCATATACATATAACAAATGTAAGACCATATACAACGTGTTTTAAAATATTGATTTATTGAGAAGGAATTAAGCTATCCACTTCGAGCATGCAAGTAGCTATTTAAAAGCGCGGAATACGTTGAAGAAACTTCGGCAAAAAACGATTTAAGCTCTTTTTTCTTTTGAAATATATTTGGAATATTAAATAAATGAAGGGTGCCCAAATGACATACGGAAAATAATATTCTTATACTACTGTAAAGTATTCGTTCGTGATGCCTAAAAGTATGCAAGAGATCCAGCTCATTGTCAATACATACATATAATACTATATCATATTCTTAATTTGTTCAAATACAAATTTATTACATGCGATTTTTGATCAAATACATATTTATTGCATGCGATTTTTACATTAATATAATATATCCAATCGCAGCGATATCAATTTTTTCAGAAATTTTCTGTTGAATACTACTATATGACTGAAAGTGAGCTTCGAGTGTAACCGTGTAGACTCTCGCAAATTTCAAAGATCAAAGCCGTAGGCATATTTTCCGATGTTACTATAATGTAAATATATAAGATATTAAAAAATGTTGCTAAAGTATTCAAGATTCATTCTTCAACCAAATATGGAATCGACCACAATTATATTTGTTATCTAAATTAAAATAAAGATCACATTGCCACTAAATCCGAATATTAATATTAATATTAATATTATATAAGAGATGGAGGTTTTCACCAATTTCATTCATATTAAGCTAGTAGTTAGGAAAAGACTTTATTTCATTTAGACATTGCATATATTGGCCAAAATATACTGTCTGTAATCGGCTGGAAAGTCGGAAATCAATTTATTAGGTATATACCTCATAAAGTCTACCAGAGCTAGAGGAAATATTGCCCTATTTTAACCATTTTTGATACAAGAGCGCATTATTATCAGGAAACTATATGGTTTTTACAATATAGCATAAGAATCTCGGGATAATGTAATGCAACAAATTTAGTTGAAATTGCTGCAGTGCACTTTGTAGGTTATCGCTTAACGTAATTTTGGGAGCATGGCAATGAGAGAGAGTTCCCCGTACTTCAACTTACCCCATCATTTTAATCATGTATGGCATATATCACTCACGGCTGATGTTGACCGGCGCCCAATGCAATCCATTTTCAATGTGTGTTTTTGAAAGTAGTTGTTTGTTTACTGCTGTAGTAATAATTGTATCTTCTTTATTACGAAAAAATTATCTTATGCAAAGCCTTTTACAAATCAATTTACCAGATATTTAAGCTTGTAAGGTAAGGAAGCACCTTTTTATCTATACCAACCATATTACCGGAGAAATACAAACAAATATAATCTTCCTCATATAGAATGGTATCATGCACATAAACCGTTCCATCGAAACACCAATCAAATACCACGCCTCTGTCTGCTTCCGCAATTTCAGGTAATGTAATCAGTTTAATGCAAATCGAGATATTCTCACAAATTTCAGTACAGTAATCTGTGATCAACTTGTTGTCGTTATTCATCTCTTTGCCGGTGTCTAAATAGAATGCATAATCCGAACCAAGCTTACACGCATATACTAGGTGGACAATAACAAAAATTATATAATAATGTGCTTTTGAATGTAAGAATGACTAGTATTTGCATTGTACTTACGTATGAAATCCACCGTTACCACCATTTTGCTAAAGTCAATGGAACAACAATCGTTCTCTAAACAACTGAAAGCCTCTTGTTTTCCACCTTCACATATAATTATATAACGTGCGAAAATAAATGCGCAAATGTTGCCGAGCAGACGAGGAGTGATGAACATTTTCTTCAGTGCTTGAATTCGGAAGTACGGAGAATGGCAAGAAAATGAGGCTTTACTGGTTTTATACCGTAAAATTTAGCATAATATTGTTGGGTCATGCTTTAAGCACATTTTGCCTTTATTAAATTACTAATATTTTTATAAAAGGTAATTTTATGGTGAGAGAATTTAAGTAAAGTAGCCGAGTAGGTTGAGTTCATGACACTCGCATAATGGATCGTGAGCTCAAATCCCTGTAAATATTAAAATGGAGGAAACATGGTTCTTAACAGCGATTGGCTCTCGATAGGAAATGTCAAGCCTGAAATCTCCGAGAGAAATTCTTATGTCAAAACATTTATATACGAAGATACCTATGAGTTAGGGGGAAATTTAATTTGTACCTTTACTAATAGAAACCAAGGGCTGATATGTGAGAATACTAAACTCGGCCCAATAAACAGCAAAAGTGTAAAAGTTATTTATGTAAACTTATGTATACTTCTAAATTATTTTGATTTTATAATGAAGCGTTACTTGACCTCCAAGTGACATTGTCGGCTTTTATCAGGGTTGCATTTGTATAAATTAAAATACATTCTTGGATATAAAAAAATACCTTTACCGGTTAAGTACAACGTAAGTTTAAGGTCACCTTTTATTTGTTGAGTTTAGATCCAAACAGCAAAAGCGGCTCGCCAACTAGTATGCTCCCAAAAAACGGCGATTTTAATTTTTTGTCTGTGTCGCGCGCCGACACTTTATTATACCCTGTACAGGGTATATTAAGTTATCTACGAAGTTTGTAACACCCACTAGGAAACGTCGGAGACCCTATAAAGTATCTACATATATAGAATACTAATCTATTTCGATTGATTTTTAGGTGGCAAAATACTGTTGGGTGAACAATTTCATTTTTTTTAATTAGGTTTTCCACAAATATCAAAACACAACCTATAAATTGTAAAAACTGAAGGGCGTATTGCGTTATTCAACGCAAAATTTTACATAATGATTTTCAAGACACACACCGCTATTTTTCAAACAAACGCCTTGGCAGAGAAAAAATTTAAGGCCAGAGTAGGGATCAATTTATTTAAAGTTGGTGTAAATATCTAGGCTTTTCATAAGTTTTTTCCAACTGCATTAAAATATTGACTAGCTGGATCTACAGGGAATGTAAATATCAAAATGTCAATTTCTACTCAGCTCTTAGTCAGCTCATGTAAAGAGTAACTCTAATAAAGCAAGCGACTCTTTCGCAAAATTTTCTTGTGTATGAAAATGTTACCTACATCTAGGCGCCAGGTGTTGTTGGAATTAGTCTCAATTAAGCAAAAGTGCAACAAGAAGAATATATTTAGATGATGATAAACATTCTTGACAACTGTGTAAATTAGAGTCAGGAAAAAATATGTACACAGCAGATAGTGTCCAAACAGAACCCTAATTATGGAAAACAGTTGTAACTTACTAAACACCAGCCGTCAAAAGAATTTTGCAGTCGCCCAATTACTGGTAATTACGCATCATTAGAACCAGCTGTCCCAGAGCAGAATGCATAAGGCCCCTGCTTTCAACTTATTAGCTTTACAGCTTTCATAGCTTCCGCTATGAGCCTGCAACTATAAGAAAAACAGTTCGATACAAACGATTTTAAGGTTAAATAATACCTTAGTAATTTTGAGGGCACGATCTATTTTACCACTATTGCAAACGCTTACTTACCTTCCTGAAAGTGTTAACAATTCAAGGCAGTGTATGATTGCAGGAAGTTGCCAAAACAAGCTAAGTGCAGTACTACACTGGGTAATTCATGTGGAAGGTACACAAAATATAACATACTTACCAGCAACACTGTCAAAACTCATAAAACTAAGGCATAGTCACGACAAAACCTCTGCATAATTAGTGTCGAAACAATCAAAAATTATAGCATAGGTTAGGTTATTTCTGTTCCCACCAGCTCGGTGGCATATCTGAAAGTGTGAGTCCCAACTGTTTAAGTCTTGCAGAGGGCAAAAAGCTTACTATATCTCTTACATTCGATCTTGATAGCCCAGCGCTGGCCATGTTATTGCGAAGCCCAGCTATTCAGTAGTAGAACACATGAGGAGAGTAGATCATCGACATGTTCCTATTCTACTGATAGTGTGCGAATTGAGTGCTTTTCCTTGCCAGCTCAACGACTTTACAGTTTACCTGCGATACCGCTGTGGTCTGGTACGCATACCAGTTTTATCACAAAGTGACTCGATGCCATTGATAACGTGATTAGGCATTCTTTAACCAGCCTTGAACGCACGGTTAATGAACTCAAACCTAGTATTGGCGCTCTGCGCTCAGAGAGGATAGTCGCTTCTCTGAAGGAGGCTGCACTCCGCAACAATTAATCTATCGCTACCTTAATGACAACAATAGTCAGGAAGTCAGTAACTAAAGTTGATAGAGAGTTCCAAGCTTTGACCTATCCGTAAAGAAGCAGGTTTGGCGTCTCTATAATCCAAAATATCCACTATGAGGTCAAGGCGTACGAGGATTTCCGAATGTTCAGACATATTTTTATTTATGAAACCAGATTATCTGAGCCTTATAGCAACTTTCGTGATCATACACCTTCCGGCGAGATCTACTCTCTTGTATGGGTACTATATGGAGTATGGCATTAAGTGCAATGGTTGGTGTGAATCTGAGTGCACCACACACACATGTTGATGAGCGCCGCTCCTTGATATTATAACATACTTACCAGCAATGTCTCTGTCTATATAAGTTTAGAAAGACATTAATAGTTATGGTTGTTGTGGTTCATAATGCCAACAGCTTCTAGTACCATATACGTAAACATTAAAACAAATGTATCAATAATTATTTAATTTCAATGGTCTAAATTTTCTCCGCTCCTAAATGTATACTAATTTTACTTTTTTCGTACAAATTTATTTTCGTTTATACCATTAACAGTTATTATAGCTTACTGTGCCTTCATAAGACAATTATTTTTTACATTAAATATATATACCGTTATAGTGTTTTCTATGTATTTTCTTTTTTTTTATATAAAGAGTTATGTTCGGCCACAAGACACAAAATTGCATTTCACCAAAAGACCTTCGAGTGCATTTTAATTACTTAAAAATACGATCACTTATGTACCTAAAAACATAAACAGAATTTTTTATTAAAATATTACTATTTAAAAATGAAATGGATTGCTTTTCGATTGCGTCTGTTCGCAGAACACGCTTAATGCCAAACCAAATACTGCTGAATCAAATGTCTTTTAGTGAAATTAAAGCACTACAAACTGGCAGCTGTGGTCGAAATTGCTATGCGAAGGCAATGACAGTGCCAAATGTGTCGTCTGCGTTGGTGCCACAGCGACTGGCAGTGTGTGCCACATAAATTCTACGCCATAAATCAATGAGAGAACGTGAACAAAGGAGAGAAAATTAAATGAAAATACAAAAATAAAAAAATTTAAAAATTAAAAAAGTTAAAAAGGAAAATTGCAACGCAACAAAAAACAGAAAATAAATGCAGCAACGAATGGGTTGCATACAAATAAATAACGTTAATGTGAGCAGACGGCATGCAAGCAGCGCGTGAAGCAAGCATGATACAAACCAGTAATAATAAGAAAAATATATACAAAAAAAAAATAATAAAAAAATTCAAAAATAAATAAAGCAGTAAATAAAGAAAACTATTGTAAATAATTGCGTGAGAATTTATGGCAGCGCACTTTTATAGCTGCCAAAGCTGTAGCGCCTGAAAATATGTGAGGCATATTACATATATAAGTATATAAATGAGCGTGTACTTGTGCGTCTCGTGACCAATCAAAGGTAGAAATTACTATAGCATACACTCATAAACGCCGTCAAGCCGCATACGCGCGCACTTGCCGCTGCGTTGTCTCCATTTCTTTAGGCGTCGTTTCACTACCAACTTCCTCCCCGGTTTGTCTCGTTGCATCGCCATCGTCCTTTCCATTTTCATACACATTTCCTGTTGCATCATCTTCACCAATCGCCTGTCCATTTGTCGTCGCCACTCTTGCACGTTCGTTACGCATCGCTTCATCCGCCTCACGATGATCCACGGGCAGTTTATCGAGCGCATCGAGTACATATTTAATTGTGCGTCCCGCGCGTGGCAACATCGCATCCAGCCAGCTGCTGCGTCGTGCCTTTTTACCAGCGCCCTCTCCGTCATTGTCATCATCGATAAAGTCATCGTCGCCACCAGTCAACGATCGTGCGCCACCCAAGTAGTCGGTGTAGTCATAATCGGACACCAATGGATTTACTTTCGAGTAGTAAATGGCGGCGAAAGTTGAGTAAATAATCAGCAATGCGGTGCCAGTCTGCAAGTGAGTACACAGGGAAGCGAAAAAGAGAATGTTGAAATGAAAATGTGTTTATAATGTCTTATGTTGTAGAGTGATTTCATACACTCGCAACATGTTGCTACAGAGTCTAATAGTTTTGTTCACCTAACTATTGTTTATATCAGCTAACACTAAACGAGATATAGTGTTATATATATATATATATATTATATAAAAATGATGAGGATGAAAAAACGAGTTGAAATCCGGTTGACTGTCTGTCCGTCTGTCCATCCGTGCAAGCGATAACTTGAGTAAAAATTGAGATATCTTTATCAAACTTAGTACACATGTTTTTTGGTACCGTCAGACGGTTGGTATTGCAGATGATCGAAATCGGACCAAAGACACGCCCACAAAACGCTATTTATCGAAAACCTATAAAATGCGATAACTAAGCTCTACAATAAGATATAATAAGCCTGTTATTTAGTACTGCGGTTTAAACAAATTTTTTAAAGTGGGCGTCGCCACGCCCTCTTACAGGTTTAACGTACATATAGTCTTAACGTCTAAAACCATAATAACCAAATTTGCTCAAGGCAAATTTTTATGGCAATTCTACCGAAATGATAAAAATGTATGAAATCGGATTATAACTACGACAATTCGCCATATAACGGTTTTGTTAAAAACTACTAAATACTCGATAAAACAATAACTAAATGCATCATAGACAATAAGTTTTACGGTCGAGATGGTACAAGACCCACATTAAAGTGAAATCACATATCTCAATACCTACAATACCAATTTCAAACAAATTCGCTAGGTAACATTATCCTGCCATTTTCCATATAACTTCATTTTAAATGTCATCTGATCCTTTCACTTTCCAGTATACAAATCAAGCACCAAATGTTTCACGATAAAACTTTTGACAAATCTTACGCCAAAAAATACACGAAATCGGACTAAGACTTTTCAAGAACCCAGACACGGAAAATGTGGACCCCAGTTTATATGGTTAATTTTGTTGCGTCGTTTTGTCGGTATCAAAGGTTGTCCACATCAAAGCCATCGAATTCAGGCACGTAAAAGTCATATATCATGTCTCTATAGCGTTCGCTATTGACTGTTAAATCATGGCTGGCTTCATTTTTAAAGAGATGTGGAAAGAGATGTCTTTACCTATAGAGCACACCAAACAGTGACTTTTGAGGATGTGATAGCGTCTCAACAATGGCTTGTGTATTATCAAACGTTGTTCCAGAGTTAGTCTGTTTGTTATTAAATGGCAAACCAAACCGAGTATAAACCAAATAACCAAGCTGCCAAAAAACACCTCCGAAAAAAGTATTGCCTTATTGAAAACCCCAACACTTAAGATACACCCTTACTTTGTATATCAGATAGCGCCTTTAGCACAAGAGACTAGTGTCAGTCAATACCGACCTTTGAAAAAATGAAATGACAAAACAATAACGTGACAAAAGTTCATAATTCCGTCTTTTTCAGAGCACTGATTGAACATACGGGAGATAGCTGGGAGAGTAGGCATCTCAAAAAACTACGTAAGTCATATAGTGTATACAGCATTGGGCATGAAAAAGTGGACGATTCGATGAATGCCGCGGTAGTCGCTTCGGAAAACCAGCGTCACAGTAAAACCACTTTACTACAGTGATTAACGCTGTTTACGAGCAACCAGAAGAGACTTCATTTAGTGACCTTTGACGAAATATGGATTCACTAATACACACCAGAGTCCAAGAAACTGTCGTAATAGTGTACTTCACCAGCGAAGTATCGGTCAGAAATGTGATGCCCACCATTTTTTAAGACTCCTAAGCTGTGATCTACATCGACTACCTGTAGAAAGAAATTAATCACAGAACTGAACGAATGGGCAGATTCGTTGCCAAATTGCAAAAAAAATAATCCGATTTTGAGAAATTGGTCGAAGTAAGCAATAAACTTCTGTTACTTGCACTGTACTATTTCTTATAATATATGAATGCTCTCGAAGAAGAAAACACAAAATTTCAAAATATAGAAATATTTTTTTTTCGTTGAAATTCAATAATTTTAACGACTGCAGCGAAATAAACTCGCTACTCAACTGCTGAAAATGGCATTTCAATTATAAATTCGCTGGCATAAGCATGTGCGAGTGTGAATTTATATTGTTATAAGTGTTTATATATGTTGTTATAGACAGAAAGTACAACTGTATCAAATATGAAATTACGCTCATAATTCAGCGTAACAGAAGTATGTCAAACTACCGTTCGACCGCAAAATTTTAATTTATTAAACGCCGTGATATATGCTACATATTTTCTGTTATGCATTGTTGTTATACCCTCACAACAGTTTTTAAACTATCGCTCGGAAATTTTGCACACATTCTTCTCTCCAAAAGAAGCTGCTTATTTGTCGGAACTGTCGATATCGGATCACTATGGCATACAGCTGTCAAACAAACTGACTGATAAAAATCAAATTATTGTATGGAAAACTTTTTACTATAACAAGATGTCTTTACGAAATTGAGCAAGTGTTATTTCCAATGGCAGCGCTACAATATTTGAGCAAGTTGTTCAAGTCAATATATTTTTATGCCTATTTATGCTGTCAGAAATGCACCTGTGAAGGGTATCATAGCTTCGCTGCAGCCGAAGGTTACGTTCTTTCTTGTTTTTTACGTTTTTTGGCTGCTGTCTCTTTTCATACGGTGCTTTTCCCAAACGCGCTGATGCACTCGGCTGCGAAAAATTGTGCATGGCTGCCAATTAAATGACTGACCTTACCTGTACAGCAACAAAAGTATAACCAGATGATGAAAAAATTAAAAAAAAAAGATTAAAAAAGGAAAACAACAACAAGCGCAAACTGAAATCTGAGCAGAAAAACCGCCGTTGAGTAATGATAATTATAACCGCAGGAGAATATCAAGTGAAGAAGAACAATAAAAATGAAGCAAACAAACACACACATGCATACACATGTACAAGGAAAAAACTCACGCATGCTACACAGAAAATGTGGCAATAAAATCTACAGAGAAATATCGTTGAAAATTACATGGAAGGTATTAATTAAAAGTGGGCATTAAAGAAAGCAGAGCGCCGGATGGCACGGAGCAATGGCGGTTTGAAGCGCGTGCAACTGCAAGTTGCACTCAAATTAAGTGGTGCAGCTCATGTGGCAAGCGGTGATGCTGAAATCTCTTGCGGGTCAAGTCCAGCTGTCAAAAGCACAGAAATGCCACGCAGCGTTATCTGGTTTACATGTTTTTCATCTAGATTTTCTGCGAAAGTTTACATCTTTGTGCCGGGGCGAAGGCAAAAAGTGGCGTTAATTTTACAAATAGCGAAAATTGTTACGCCAAAAAGCCTAAACACGTTTTTTGCACAAGCTATAAATGCAAAATGGTGCATACACACTCACATGCAAATATGCGCTTCATTCACCAACGCTAAGCTGATGGCGCTTTTGTGTTGCGCGCTTTCAGGCGCCCACATGGAAAAACTCGTTAAATGAATAGTGATTAACTATGGGTGCGCGTTACGGCAAATGTGAAAAAAAGTTTATAAGTACACTTCTACATACTATATATTTATGTATTTGTATATGTATACAGTAAAATCCCCTGAAGTTGAACATTATGAGAAAGTAATTAACATAACATTGGTTTGTAGTTAATATCTGAGTATTAGAAAACATAACTGTCTATGTCTACTTTACCGTAATAACTGATTTTGAGAACAAAAAAAACGTTATTCAATAAACTAGCTTGCATTTAATACCCATTTTTTAAGATATATATGATACATACTTGTATATATGTAAATAAATACTTTTTCGTCTTACAATAGCTTATTCATTTTTAACTACACATAGGCTTAAATACACTAATTTGGAAAAAAGCATATAACTGTTAAAGTTATGGATCTAAAGATAGTTAAAGATAAAGATTTCTTTTATATGCATATAACTGAAAATCTAAAAAACTATAAATAGGTGGCAACCCTACAAAAATATTTTTCAAATACCATATAAGTATTTTTATTGCAGCAAAAGTTACCAAAAATTTAATTTGTGTACTTTTTACTTAAAAAGTTTCACTGGTTTATTTAGCTCTGATAGGAAAAATATACGGCAACCCTACCAGAAAACTCTTTTCATTTCAGCAAAAGTCGCTGAAATTTACAGTTTAAAAAAATGTAAGAAAAATAAAAACTTTTTCATATTTTTTATAACATATAAGTAGCAAACTTAAGAACATTTAAGCTGGAAAATTAAATTAAAATACAAAAGTATTAAAAAAACAAACAAGGGAAAATATGAACGATAACATTTCCATTATAATTATATTTTTTTTTTTGTTTGAAGGGTAGTATTCGAAGTATATTTAGCCAAAATATGTTGGCAAGTCTACTAAAAGTGGAACTGAGCAATGTATTGGCAACCCTACTCAATAATTATTTTATTTTTAAATATAAAAATATGTTTCCCACTTTTTAAATAAATTAATATACCACTGTCTGAGTACATATACAAGATGTATTTATAAAAACTCTACAAAAATAATATGGCAATTATTTTAAAGAAATTATTTTCGTTTTGTTTATAAATTTCAACATATTATACATAATATATTATATTTAAAATGAATGTATAAAATGTTCAATTTATTTTTAATTGAAGGCAACCCTTTTAACAGAAACATCATTAAAATATATTTTTTATCAAATAAGCTATATTTATATTTCATATTATTGACTTTATCTTATTAATTTTCATTAATTATATATTTTCAAAATGTTGGCAACTTTAAATAAATTATTTGCAGTTTAATAGTAGGGTATTCACTTTAGGCTGTATTATTGGAAAGCATCACAACATGCTTACCGCCCAGACACTGCATACCTATCATGCTCACAACACACACATATTCAAATACACACACACTTCGTTACACATGCCAGGCTGCGGCTTAACGCTGTTGCGCCCCACAAAATATGCAACGAAATGGAAAATACGCATTCATTGCAGATGCCACGCTAAGCAAAGAAATGTCAAAAAGAAATAATAATAAAGCGAACCGAAGCTATAATACCCTTCATAAGTGTATTTTTTTACCATTAAAGGGTATAAAAATATCATTAACTTGAGTTTGATAAATCAGTTTGTGTGGCGCTATACGCTATATTAGTCCGATCTAAACAATTTGTTTTTTTTTTAGAACAATCTGTGCGAAATTTCGTGAAGATATATTTTCAATTAAAATATTTTTCCATAGATGGGCTGAATTTTTAACGATCAGTTTCTATAACAGCTATATGCTATAGTGGTTAGATTTGAGCAATATGTTCGGATATTGTAACGGTGCCTTTTGCAACAATCTTACACAATTTGGTAAAGATACCTTTGTCAAATAAAAAAGTTATCCATACAAGATTTGGATGTGTATGGCAGCTATATCCTATAGTGGTCCGATATCGGCGATTCCGACAAATGAGCAGCTACTTTGCGAGAAAAGGACGTTTGCAAATGTTCAGAGCAATATTTCAAAAACTGAAGGACCAGTGCAAGTATACACAGATGGACAGAGGGGTAGACAGACGGATATGGTTAACGTGATACAACTCGTCACGCTGTTCACTTATATATGTGTATACACTTACTTTATAGTATTATATTTCCGAAGCTTCCTTCTTAATATTACAAAATTCGTAACATACTTTATATACCCCATTCAGGGTATAAAAACAGACAGAAATAGTGTGGAAAAAACTAAAAAAATGTAGATGAAAACGTTTTATTTATATGTAGAGACTATTATCTATGTGTATATTATTTATGTATGTATGTGTGAAAATTTGTTCATAAGTTCGCACTTGTTTAACACCCTTAGTTGCACGTTTTTACGCGCTTAACCGTGTTGTTGTTTTTCGCGCACTGAACCTCGCGGCAATTGCTTTACTCACTTCATGCAGCTATAAGTATGTGTGTCTAAGTCTCATAAGTGCATACTTTTGCCATATTTGTATGTCACAGCTATTCATTTAAATAACTGTATACACTTATATAACGTTCTACCTCTCTCCTACATCTATTAATTTACTCATCCATTTCATTTCTCTCGGTTTTTAGCACCACAAATGCATTCACCTTAATGCAGTCTTCAGGCTTGAATGCCAATTTAGTTCATCCATTAGAATTTGTCACACTCACACATACGTATTTAAACATTTTATGTGAATAAAATATAATGAAATGTAATCAAATGAAAGGAATGGAGTGGAACAAAAACGCCAAAGCATACTTGCCATTTTTCATATTCACACTTAATTCGCTTGTTGTTGCATAGACTAAAAGTACTTATATTCAACGGCTTTCTTACATACATATATATATATATATATAAGTCTTTGTAAGTGTGTATGTGCTTTCATTTAACAAATTAAATGCTCTCACCTTTCATTGACTTTGCTCTTGTAAATTTTATTTTCCTTTGAATTTTATGCGGTTAGCTGTTGGCATTTACATTTGGTTTTCAAGCGTTAATATTTGTTTAAATATTTAATTAAGTTAAACATATACATCTCTAAAAATATTAGAATTTAAGTTTTATATCTTTTTTATTTATATTATATATTTTTAATAATTTTTATTAATTTTGTATGAAAGAATTCAGTTTAAAGGGGTTATATTCACGTGCAAGTCAGAAAATACGTATTATTTCGTGAATTTTCTTTGAAGAGGTATTTTATTTACTAGATAAATATAAAAAAATTACACTATATTGTAGAATTTATTGTACTTTAACAATCGATGTATCATTGTGAAGCGTTTTGGATTCTCTTGATTCCATAGCCGATCTCTAGAAGCACCTCCAAAAAAAGGTGTCAGGCAGCGAGGAAGTTTTATCTGAAGTCCGTAAATCGCAAAAAATCATTATAACAATACGAGTATATGAATGCATATGACTTTCGCAAGACTAGTCAAAACTGTGATTTTTAACATCAAAGACGCTTCCCAAAAAAGTTTGTGAAAAATTTATACTTCAAAGTGACTTAAAACATGGAGGTATCAAAAATCTTTACCCAACAAATACATCTAGGAAGATCGTGTGAAAATTTCAAGTCGTTCGGTGCAACAATTTCGTAGCAATTTTTCTCAACGACTCTGAAAGCAATGTTTCGAGAAAAAATCGTTTAAAGTTTTGGGAGCCGATCACACTAACTTAAAAAATTCTTACATATAGGTACACTTATATCTCAGAAACTCTTGAATTTTCAAATGTTCGAAGAATATTCTTAAACATATGCACATTCGATATGTATGCAAAAATAGCGACTTTATAGATGGGTCTCACCCTGTGGAATAACCATTGGACTGTAAATTGTGACTCGCCTAAATTTAATGACAGTAGAGGTGTTCTATAGTATTTACAGTAGCACTACATAGACCTAGTAAACACTTTAAGATATAGAGAAAAAGAATATTACGGCCCTCTCTCTGCAACTCGATACTGTGCCATAAAAATCTAGTATCTAATGAAGACTTTTTTGAATCTTTTGATACTTAGTTACACTCATTAGGGATCAAAACGGTCCGTTGGTGATGCTTTATTTTTAAATTTTGAATTTAAAAATATGTGTACAACAAAAATAGTGGCAACTCTATTGAAAAATAATTTATAAAAATATTGGTTCTATGCATTTCAAGCATTAAGGAGTAAAGCATTTTTTTTATTTTAATTTAAAAAAAGCAACCAATATTTTATATGGGTGGCAAAAATTTTTGTTATAGACATTGTCTTGTTGAACAATTTTTGTTATTTCTGTAAAACCTTTTAAATTCGAATATTATTTTAGACAGAATGTTAAACTGTCCATTAAAAAATTCCCACTCTTTTATTGATTCGCTTATTAATTTTAATATTACTCGTAAATTAAAAGCAACATGTTGAAACGTCCAAAGGGCGGCGCCTCACTTAACTTTTTTGCCACATAATAATTTCCGGTTTATTTGTCAACAACGTTGGCAATAATGCGCAACCAGACCGGTAAACAATGAAAGGTAAGTGGGCTTACAGGAAATGTACTACAGCACACAAATAAATATAACTATTTTATTTTTTTATGTTTACAGATACATTTTTGTGTATTATATATAACGGTGTATTTGTTTTGCACACAGTTACGTGTGGAAATATTACATGGTGCTATTCGTCAGCCGCGAGCTATGTCTATGACAGCAATGGCAGTAAGAAATATTAAAGAGAAGAAAATAAAAATCAAAATCTTGGCAAACTGACAAAGCCAGATTTACAGCAACAGTATGTAAGTGCGGCAAAAAAAATATACATCAAATAAAATAGTGGCACAACACATACATGTGGCAACACTATGCACTCGCGTGTCACATTTAAGTAAGACAAATTATTTTCACGCCACTCATTTGGTGCAGCGCATAATTTGTGACCAGCCGTATCCGCGGACTCTTCGTAATGCACAATCGCTGTCGACAACATCTGTACATGTATGTGTAAATGTTACGTGTGTGTGATTCATTTTTATATGATTTGGAGTGCATATGTCCGTCGCAGCTACCTTTTATGTCAAACTAATGAATGATTTCTCGACTGCTGTCACGTGTCGTCCGCTTTTTTCGCACCTGCCAACCCAGTTTTGAATGAGTGAGTCTTGTCAACGGACTTTTGCGCCAACTGTAGCCGTTGTCTTAATGCCTGTGATATTTGTAGCATATAATCTTGATGGATGATGTGTGAGAGTAGCGTGAAATACAGTGGAATCGCATGATATGTGTTCTTTTCAGTCGAATCCGGGACAAGAACAGCTGTGGCCTGAAAAGCCTCTGAAAACACTCTGAAATCTGCTTAACAATTATTATATTCTTCTCTGAAATAACTGTGGATTTTGTATGGAACCTAAACTAACATATGTGACTGACCAAAAATTCGGTGACAAGAAAAGTTCTGACAGTCATCGTAAACTGGTTGAAATAAAGAGTGGGGCAAATTCCTATCCGAGAAATTTCTTCTGGCAAACGAGCCGTCATCCAGTGAGATAGAAAGATGGTTACAGATTATCATATTATACAGACAAAAAAGTTCCTTTTCATACAAGGAATGGTTTCGGATTCCAATAACGAAAACAGAAAAAGAGGAAAACATCAGAAAAAGGTAAAAAAGTATATATTTAGATCAACCCAAGTGAACCTTAAAAAGCATTCCCAAATAGGTTCCCGGTCAAAAAGTACTTATACTCCATTATAAAGCCCCCTAGATATAAGAAATATATGCATTGTATGTATATTACTCTAATTAGTTAAAAGAGTAACACCATAATTTAACACGTCAAATGCAATCATTATTTCGAAGCACTCACCTGAAAAACAGCCCAGAATTTGTACGAGCCTTCGGTGATGACAAAATCGTAGTAGCCCTTCAGTGGATCGCCTTTGATGTAACGCCCTTCACCCACATCAGTCGATTCCGACACAGCTGTGTCAGTGGCTTGACGTTTCTCACGGTTACCCTGAGCATTTTGGCGCGCCATCGTATCACCGTTTGAGCCATTGTTTCTTTTGTTGCCGCTACTGCTGCTGTTGGCAACCGTCTCTTCCACTTCGCTGCTCGCCACAAACTCAGTTGAGGTCGTACTTTGCGTTGTTGTTGTTGTTTTTGTCGTCGTTTTAGGATTTTTAGTCGTTCTGTTGTTTGGCTTAACTCGTTTTGCCGCATTTGGGGCAGCTCCGCCCGTCACCTCACTGCTCTCCACGCTGCTGCTGCTATTCCTTTGTGTGTATTTATCGTTTGCGCCGATTTTGGGCGGCTTTTTCGAATTGATACGCGTTTGTTGTGCGATTTGCTGTTGACGACGTTTTGCTGCCTCTTGTTGTTGTTGCTCTTGTCGTTCTCGGTGTGTCGCGAGCGTATTCCAAGCGGCAGAAAACGCCTGGTAAATCTCCCACATGGTTTTGAGGCTTTTCAATGTGGATAACAGTGAATTCTCAGTGGGCGAGTTGTTGTTGCTGCTATTGTTGTTGCTGGTGGTGGATGGTCGATTGTGCAGGTCGGCCCCTTGGACCGCCTGCTGTTGTTGCTCTATTATAGTGGTCTGTTGTGGGCGGTTTTGCGGTCTAGGTTGTAGTTGTAGTTGTTGGCGTTTTAATAGCTGTTGTTCGTATTGTTGTTTTTGTAATGGCGTTAAAGCACCAGGATACTCATAATCCTCCATTGGGCCATCGGCATCGTAAGCAGCATAAGGATCACTGTAATGCAAATGAATTAAAAGCGTTTAAGTATGTAATTTTATAACTTTGAATTTTAAAAATGAAGTTCATATAAGTGGTAAATTAACAGTATTTTGAATAAGAAACCAATTTAATGGTATATGTTAAGCCTTATATGGAAATATATAGATATTCAATACACGGCGTAATAAATCGAAAGCCTCCACCTAAAACGATGTCCGACAGCCGTGATTCAAACTATGTTTCCGTTAGATTCTTCAATTTTACGAAATACAACTTTTTTTTATCATCTCCATCTCCACAGTTATGGCATGATATATGTGCCTGTTCGATACAAATTCTTTAATAGTTTAAGATCATAGCTGCTACAAAATTTAGGTTAGTTTAGGTTAATCTGGTAGGCTTGTAAGCCAAGCATAGACCAGTTTTGGTTGCGATGCCTGATGGAGTGCCGTTACGTAGTTGAAGAGAAGTAGCTTGACGTGAGTTTCAATAGACTCCTCCTCACTATCGACACCTCTTCCAGTGTTTCATACAGTGAGGCCCCCAAATGTTTAAAGCGTTGTCTTGTAAGTGCGGTGCAAGTGCACAAGAGATACTCCATTGCGTCATTCCCTGCAGTCAACTCGATTTGTCAGCCCTATTCTGCAGGCGTGTGCCACCACCATAGTGTGACCGCTGAGTATACCAATTATGTTCCTACAGTCTCTTCTATCAAGCGTGAGCAAGAACTTTATGCATTTTTGATTTACCGTTTTACACATGACTTTTGCAGTCTTGCATCCTGATAGATTATTCCATCGAAATTGAATCTTCCTTGACATACTCTTGCCCAGATCGTCATCTCTCAACGCTCAAAGGAAGCAATGTTTGGAGTTCGAACAGGTTCGATAACAGCACTTCAGTATTATTTATACTTTTCTCTCGTAAACACTTTCAAATTCAGAAATATGTCATAACATCGAACAGATAAAACACAGTATATATACTCCTTTAGGAATATCCTGATTATACGTATCCCATTCTCTAGTTTATCTCAGTCACTGTTAGTTCGAGGTGAGAAACATTATAATTACGATCGAATTTCCACCAACTTCGGTGCATCGTATTATCTTGGTATTTTTATTTTACGGTTTCAAAATAGGTGTTGTCGACCACGACTACTTCCCATATATCACAATTTAAAAATTTGCAAGCCCACAAATAAGGAATATGTATACCTCAGTACTTAATACATGTAATATCCTTTAACTCTTATTGAACGGTGGGGCCAGTAACTAAGGCTGACTTTATAGCAAAAATATCGGTGAACTGAAATTCAGAGAGGATAATTTGACGATAATAATGTACCGTTGTATGAAATACGGATAAAATCAGGTCAAAACTTCGCCTAGCCCACATATACGTAATGTAAGGATTTTTAAACTAAAGGAGAATTTTACTGTGTATATCGATCAATATGTGTGATATATTAATGGAACTGCGACAGTATCAAATGTTCGGTTACACGCGCTTTTAGTACTGCCTTACATGTTTTAATTTAGAGATTTGGAGTATATCCCACTGAAAAGATGAACTCACTAACGATGCGTTTTATTATTAATTATTCCTACCTTTCAAACGCTGTGGTCTGCCATACCCCAACTCGTTCATTGAAGGTTAAATAAAGTTGTTCATACGCACTGTTGTACATCTCTAAAGGTAATTCTTTACCAGTGCACTTATTTTGAGCAATTTTAAGGTCAAAGTAATAACTCAACTAACGCTCGTGCATATTGCCGCTATTAGCAACGGAACAACAACAACCTGTCAAAAATCAAACCTCATTTGAGCGAAATTGCATGCAACACAAATTTAATGAAAATTCTGTTTGTACCAAGCACAATTACATGCAAACTACACACACGCTATGCACTTGAACCTTTCGCACTCGCCACATTACGCATCTGCTTACAAAGTTCACAGTTAATTTTGTTGCACAGCAATTTTTGATATTTCCGCTGCATTGCCATATTAGCTGCTAATATTCATGCTAATGTTGCAACATGGCGCACAAACGGCATCGCAAATATTTACACCACCACTAGCAGCCATCATTAACCGCACCGTTACGCGGTGGATGAGATGAAGTGCACACACACATACATACATACGATACAAGCATATAAGTATACTTTAAATAGCTGCTGTGTAGTAAGTACATTGGCAAAGCGTGCGGCAAACGAGCATCAGTCACGCGCAACGCCTCCACCAATCAATGTGGCGCACAAGGACACACACTCACATACACAAAAGATCGAAATGCACACATGACTGCTGCTTGATGGTTGCAAGTTCAGAGCGCGTACGCAAAAATCAACAACTAAATCAGCGTTGCCGCAACCACTACTGCCGCTGCTGCCACTAAAATACATACACACACACTCATATTTACATGTGCACTATAATGGCAATAACTACAGCCACCCACCCACATAGTTGCACACTTCAATGCACTCATTCACTCACTTTGCCGCTTGCGCAAAGCTGGAATTTTTCGCTATAATTTTGCTGTTGTTACAGCCAGCATCATTAAGTTGCAACAGCGTGCATTCCCTGTGCACCGTGTGCCGCATAGTTTGCTAACACGCGTATGTTTGTGTGTCTATATTGAGTGCACAACTAATTTTGCTGGTATCGCAGGCGATAGCTTCACTCGTCGTTGTTGCAACGTCGTCGCGTTGCAAACTTGCAACTTCAAGTATAATGATAATTTTACGCTGAATTTGACAGGGAATTTCATGCATGCCTCACTGTCAGTTACGCGCACAACTAACTACTTGCACTTGCACTTTGAGCGGAACTTCCACCGTGTGAGCGGCATTAGTTGAGCATTTGTTAAGGTGGCGCTGCAGCCGTTTCGCTGATTTCACAGTGCTTTAATCAAACTCTGCTTGAAGTTTTTAAAATATCAAAAGTGCACATATATGACGATAGTGAAGCTTCTTTAATGATTTTATAAGCAACGAAGTGAAGTGAAGCCATCAAATCTATTCGGAAGCAATTCTTACACCAAATAGATAGCTAGAGTTGACATAAAAAGAAAACAGGTGGCTACACTGAACCAATTTTGTTTTTAACTAACAACTATATATTATATAATCCATTAAATTATATTGTATATATTCTAATTTTTTTTAATATTTCAATTATTTGTTGTTTTGAAGTGAATAGTGAATTTTAAAATAAATCGATTTTTAATTCTACATATATATTGAAAGTACATATATTTGAAAATATTTTATTTAAATTATTTATTTGATCTGGTAAATATAGGAGTATACGAATCTAAACTTATTTAAAAAAAAAAATTAACTTAGCGTAATCGCCACCCAAAACTTTAAACGCGTTTTTCCCGAAACGATATTTTCACAGTCGGTAAGGAAAATGTCTCCAAAACGGGTGAACCGATCGTCTTAAAATCTTACACGACCACCTTAAATGCATATGCTTGGTAATTATCGCAGGAATACGGTTTTTGATAATATTGTAATTTCAGTTTTTTAAGCCATATTGTTATGTGAATTTTAATTTCTTTTGTTTTGGTTAGCCGCCATTTTGCTTAATATCAAAATTTTTACTTCTCCTCCGATCATCACAATAATACAACTACAGTTATATTCCTTTTTACGCTTGTTTGGATTTAAGATAATTTTAACCAAAAAAATCTTCTTCACCGTCAAACATTTTGTTTTGGAAGTTCTTCTGTAGATCAGTTTTCAAAATAAATCGCCGATTATCAAAGTGCATTAAATTCTATAAATGTCTTCAAAAAAATTCACAAAAAAGCGTTTTTTCGCGCTTAATAATATACGTATTTTAAATTTTAGTGTGTCAACGTTTTCAATATAAATTTCTGAGAAACGAACTTTTTAAAATAAATATTTAAATATCGTTTAATAATATTTTATTATTTCAAAAACAAAATAAACACAACACTAATAATTATTTTTTATTAAAGTGGCAACACCACTTTGCCATAATGCTAAACAAATGTAGATAAAATCTTTTAAATTATTGTTTCGAATTTTATATTTTATTATTTTGATTAAAATAGAATTACAATTTATTTTAAAATTTTCAATTTTTTATTTTTAAATTAGTTGGCAACCATGGTTTACTATGTGTGTGGCAAACTAAGTTTTGCCCAACCCTTCATTACATTTAAAAATATGTTAAAAAAACTAAGTAAAATACACATATGTATGTAGCTCATATCTCATTTTCGGCCTTATACCAAATAGGTGGCATTACTGCAAACCATTTTATTGAAATTCAATCAACATTCGCAACTATTCAGTCTTTATTAAGGTTTAAGGGATGCAAACTCACTTGTTTTATTGAAATTCTGTCAACATAAGAAACTATTTAATCTCTATTACTTTTTGCATGCATACAATGTATTACAAATTTAAAGTGTATTACTAATTTCTGGATATACATTGCATATGGTAACCCTGTTCCAAAATATTGTTAGGGCAAATTGTGATGCCTTCTACTTCCTGTTTATTGTCGTTTATTAATTGATTACAATTAATTAGGTAAAACTTTTTTTTATATAATAACAATATATGGTAACTCTGTAAAAAAGAATAAGAATATATTTTTTTGTGAAATTTCTTTTCTCTGAAGTCTTGAATTTTTATGTATCGTTTTATAAAAAATGTTTACTCCAAAGTTGGCAACGCTACTTTGGGCATAATACAACAGTTTTTTCAATCTTTTAAGAAACAGTATTATATAAACAAGTGTTTAATTATAAAGTGAGAGCTAAGAAAAAAATTAATATATAAATTACCCTTGGCAAGACTGAAATTCGAAGTTTCTGCGGTAAGACATTTACTAGTTTTCTTAAATTTTATAATTTTATAATTTTTTTTTTTATTTGCTAATATTAATCTTGTATATTAAAGAAATTTGCCGCGATATTGTTTAATATTAAATTAATATTCATAAGATTTATTAATATTAATCTTAAG